TCTGTTTTTCAACATAACTTATTTTATAACTCTATGGCTTTGATCATTATTCCTTTTCCCCTTTTCCAGGATTGTCATGTGGTAGATGAGGCAACCCTTGAGGAAGATGAGAGCCAGGACTACCAACTGCTGTCAGTGACAGAGAATGAGACCTCCACCACCATGCTGTTCAAACGTCACCTCCGGACATGTGACCCAAATGATCTGGATATCACAGTAAGAAAGGGGACGGCTCAAGCAACATCCCAAACAAACCTGCTCTCATGTCCCACTGTATTCCCAAATCCCCAAGATCAGATCTGAGAATGACAGGTTTTTCTCACAACAAAAATATAGCACCATACAGCCACATTTGCAATGCCCATTTCAAGACCATTTCATGTATTTGATGTTTTTACAATGTTTTCCAACATATAGGGAAGATATACATCTCAACATTTCCTTAAGCTTGAACACAGCTCTTCAAAATTTTGCTCATTTCTCTGTCTCTCTTTTGTTTGCCACATATAAAAAACCAACATGGTATGGGAGATAAAGGTTTTGTTTGTCTAATATAAGGCAGTATTTTGGTAAGACTTGTGTTTAGAAAATTCAGAACACTTTGATAATTGCAGTCCTTCACTCTTGGAAGAGCTTCGTACTGGTATTGACTGACATTAAAAACTTGGCCAACCCAAATCAGTATTTTAAGTCAGAGATTTTTCAAAAACATGCTTTGCCAAGGTTCACAAGCACACTAATGCACACAGTTTCAGAAATATGCATATATAGACACTATTTACATCATTTCACCTTTATTTGAGGAACCTCTGGGTAAATCAGCATTATCCAAGGCTTAGCCCACTCAAAAATGTTTGTCCACAATTCAGTGTACATTCACCATTTTTCCAGAGTTCAAATTCATGTGCAAATGACTGGATAGATGCCTTTGTAGTTACCAACCTTCTTAATGACCTTTACTAATTGAATGAAATATAATCCCATTCTGAGTGGGAAGAACCCACAGAGTTCCATGGCTACTGCTGTCCTTACACAATGGGGCAGATCCAGGTGAATCATTGAGTGCATTCATGCTCAACAGTATCTGTTAATGGGGAATCAGAGGACTACAGTTTTGTTAGCTTTTTTTGTGTAAGTCCCTTAGTAACTCATTGTAAAAATTGCCCAAAGTTCATTAACAGTATATACAGGTAAGTGAACTGCATCTACTTGCTCTAGGATATGCAAAGAACTGAAAATCTGATCTTTAGCACTATTGTACAGCTCCCACAGCTAAAACAGTATTCAGACACTCAGTATCTAAACATTTAAACACAAAATGATGCAGGTTCTGAAATCTTTTCAAATTCCTTACAGGTTTTTTTCCAGCTTTCTTTTATTTCACACACCATCAGTTTAATTCCATGCATGTTTCAATAATGTCAGTGAAATGACAGTGGGTACACCTTTCCCAGCATCTTTTCTAGCCAGCATCCTCTCTTTGGGAAAAAAAAACAACAAACAACCCTCATGTTTCTGTCTGGACAAGACAAATCTTGTGTATTAAACTGCTTACTTTCTGTTGTGTGTTCTTCCTCATTGTCTGAGTGTCTTGGTGCGCACCAAATACATGCAGTTATATTATTTTAGATTACTTTTAATTTAACATGGTTAGCATGTGGATTGCATTTTAACACATCTGTAGTGGTATAAGGCATGTGATTGTGGGGTGAACACCTGCGTGTGTGGTTGATGGGAAGGAATGAAGGAGAATTTCCAATGAAACACTTCCATTACAGATGGACACAGCACGCCTCGTTACTGCCTTTGGTACTGATGACACAGTCCAACTCTTTAAAGGCCAAAGATTTTCCAAGTCTCTTTTCTTGATGAGGTACAGAGCCCCATCTGACTCAACCAACGCCAAAATATTCTTCACCTATGACCTGAGGCTGGACAATGTAAGTATTGGACAAGAGCTTTACTTGGCATGTTAAAAAACTTCCCCTTCTTCTGCCTTTCTTTGCAAAGTTGATCATGCCCATGCTGGAGTTTTGGATAGCACGGGCCAAAAAATGGACATGACTGATCTTGGAAACATACAAATAGAGCTGGCAAGAGTAGGAATGAAGAGGAAAGGAAAGGCTTGCTGTGTGGAGGTTAAAGGGCTTATTTGTTAGGAAAATGCTGTAAGGCATAGCCTGTTCCCTTGACTAGAGTTTAAGGAGCCAAACAGAGGTTGTGGTGCTTGCAAAATAATTATGAACTCAGACATGTATGTATACAGGTCTATTGTCCCATCCATGTAGACCCATTAAAAAATATCTATAATATACTGAAGCTATTTACTAATTCCCATCTTAGTTTTGTGGGAACACAAAAAATAATGGGAATAAATTTAAATGCTCTGTGACAACTCTGGCTAAGAGCTCAGAAAATGCAATACACGCTACTGTGTGTGCTGCCTCCAGTGTTAATTTATGCAGCATCTCAATGTCAGATATAAGGAGATATAAGGAGAGCTGGAGCCCCCTATTAGCATCACCTTGTGGTACATGCACCATCCTTGTCAGAAGGAGTCCAAAAGTACCAGCTCAGTGTGATACTGCATTAACACCTTCCTTCTTTAAACATCATCAGCCCACACAGTCAGCACTTACTCAAGACACATCAGCTGATCTGTGTGGGCAATACTGCATAGTAAAGAGGAGCGCTATTTTTATGTAAAGATTTGTGGGGTTAGTGCTATCATGTGTTGTGCTTGTGATTCCAGAAAACCAACAATTAAAAATGTTGGTTGAACTGGCTGAATATTTCCTATGCTCAGTTCATGTTGCAACAGGCAAATTAGTAATGCAATTCCCTTTTGGAAAAATCTGAAAGAGAAAGAATTTAAGACCTGGTAGAGCTATGAAATGCGTTTGCCCTTCACCAGAATACAGTTTCATCTCCTTGACCTCACTCATTGCAACGAAAAAGGAATCAGATGCGTGCTAAATGCATCATCCTTCCTGCACACCCCCCTTCTGGGTCTCATTCTCCTTGCATTGCCTCCCTTTGGCTTCTCTGATTCCCTGTGCACATTATTGAGTCACCAGGGGAACCTTCAGGTGACTCGTGTGCCCATTTCTTTTCCAGTTTGCTGTTCCAGTTGAAGAAACCAAGTATGCCTGTACCTTTATCCCACTGCCCATAGTCAAGCAGAAACACCATATCTACAAGGTAAACTTGCAGGCTCTATTACAGGGGGGAATAACAGGACAGGACAGACTTACTGCTTCAATCATGCATACAAGGCTGTCTTTTACAGCATTTTGGTATAAATTTGGGAGCATTCCATCTGTCCTTCACTGCCGTTGGGATGAGCCAGCTAATTTGTCTGACTTGTGTGGACATAAGCTCTGTCTTGTTTCTAGCTTTGGTAGTACCTTTGTCTTCATGTACATCACTCCTGAAGAAACCTTGCTACAAGTCCGATGTCTCAGTGTAGTGAGCTTGGGCTGTTACCTATTGGTATCTTTGAGAGCAAAGGGAACCTCCAGAATTTTCTGTATTTGAAAGGACTTTTGCTTTTGTTCTTGGAAATCGCTAAGAAAATCTGTATAAAAAGCAAAACTAACATTTTTGCAGTCGTGTTTTCACGATGCAATATGCAAAAAAGAAGAGAAAAAGAAAAAAGAAAAAAAAAAGAAACAGGAACTTTCCAAAGCAAGCCTAGCTTACTTCTCAAATTAAAATAACTTTGTTTCAAGGTCAGGCAAACCTTCTTAGTTTTGTGGGCTTTGAAGGTTTAAAACCCAATGTTCCACCGCAATGGCATAAGGCCACATTTCATAATGAAGAATTTCCATTGACTGGAAAAAAGAAGAATGTGACAGGTAATCCTACAGAACAAACTCAGGAGCTTTAGTCAGTTCTTGTGGTAACATCAGGATTTTGAGGCCTGTCATCAGTGCTAGTAAAAAATTGAGTGATTTATGAACAGATCCATGCTAGTTGTGGGGTTTATTTTAAACTATCTTGATTATAGTACTTTTGGCACAACTGAGGGAGCAGTGACTTATAGTGAACCTGAGATGAAAGTCCCTTATCTTGCTTTGCAGCCAAGAAAATGATGTAAAATATTTACATTTCTAGTCTGGAAACATACTGCCCAGCATAACAGGTCAAATAGACACCCCTGTGGTTCTGATTAAGGGGAGGTAGGTGCTTTAGAGGAAGAAGCAAATAATTTCTGGACAAATGGACTCTGAGTGCATACCGAAATGAGTTGATAAATCATCATCTAGTTTACCATGCATTTTGTGAATCAGATTGTATCTACCTAAGCTGTGGTTAACTGCTCTTTCTGATTGCCTGAAAAATAAATATTTTAGGGTTGACAATAACTTTTTTCACTTTCTCTTGGTTACAGTTCGAACCTGTAATAACACCCCACCACATAACCTTGGTTCATCATATTCTTGTTTATGGATGTGGCAACGCCAGTGTGTTACCCAGTGGCATAGATGATTGCTATGGAGCCAATCCAGATTTTGCCCTGTGCTCTCAGGTGCTTGTGGGCTGGGCTGTTGGAGGAGAGGTGAGTCTGCAGGGCCCATTCCCTTCCCCATTTCTTGTTATGAACAGTAGTACCTCTGGTGTCAGCTTGTCCAGTAAGACCCCACAGTCCTGCAGGACCAACCAAACTGGGGAATTTTGCTCATACTGCCCTCCCTTGAGTCTACTGCTGCATCAAGTGATGCTGGTGATTTCTACGTAGTTGTCGATACTCCACATATGTGTATATGTTATCATCATACCTGCATTAAAAAAGTTTTATATGTCACATAGGAAGGCTTTAATTCCAACCTTTTGATCACGTTGCCATTAATTTCACAAAATTCTCCTTGTGCTAGTCTTCTGTAACAGAAGGAAGTGTACCTACTTTCTGCTTTTTTTTTTTTTAAATACTGGCTCTGCTTCTTTTTCAACAGAGTAAAATAAAATGTTCAGTGAAATTGGTGCTTCTGGCTGAGTGGCTGAGTTAGTAGTTAGTGCTGCACAGATTTTAGCATCTATCTTGTGATGGTCACTTTGCCTTTCAAAGTAAAATGTATTTTGTATTTCTATAATGTGCGTGTACATGGGAAGAAGAGAGGAAGGAGACAAGTTTTAGACAAAACCCTTACACTAATTTTATAATATGCAGTGCCATTACTGATATGAAATTTGCTGCAAGAATGTATACATACTATAACCATTTCCTATTATATATAGTATAAAAGTGAAACCAATCAAAAGGGTGAATGAAAAATAAGTTTTGAAAATTCTTCCTTGTTCTGATTCAGAAGGAAAAGAAATGGAACTGGCAGAATTTCCCACAACATTTTGATTTCTAACAATGTCTAAATAAATATTCGGAGACACGAGAAACTAAAAACTTTTTTTCAAGTTTTCAACCAAGAAACAGCAGAGAAGAGTCAAAACCTAACTATTTCATATAACTTTATTCCTCCTCTTCCTCTTTCCACAAGTCTTATCAATTTCCAGATGAAGCTGCAATTTCCATAGGGACACTGTGGGATCCTCAGTACATCCGACTAGAAATCCATTACAGCAATTTTGACTTGTTACCAGGTGGGTAATGCTGGACAGTCATCTGACAAACAACAGCCTCAGGATGGAAGCCTCAGACCTCACCTACATGCCTACTAGAAACCAGCTTCTGCATGAAACACTTCAATGTGCTGCTCAGTACAGCCTTTGGGACAGTGAGAATAAACTGGACTGGGCTCCCATTCGGGAAGAACTTAAACTAACTCTAGAAACACAGGTAGTTATATCTGCTTAGATTAGACATGTCTTACCAGCGATAAAGCCAAGCACATCTCCCTGCTATGATACTAGTGGGAGTGTTAGGAAAAACGTCAGGGAAATGTGGGCATCATGGGAAAAAGGAAGGGACAGAGTGGCTGTGGGAGAAATAGGTGTACCAAGGGTCAGGATGAAGTCCTGAGAGCTTAATACCACTTCAGGCTTCTACCATGACCTCCAGCACTAAATTCCTGTGTCAGGTGAAGAATGCCGCCATGGTATTTGCTATCATTTTACCGAAGGGGAAACTGCTCAGCAGGGACCCAAGATTTGGCCCAAGAGCACTAGCAGATCTGTGTCAGCATGTCAGAACCGAGGCTCAAATATCCGTTCACCGCATCTAAGTGAAAGGGAAACAAAACCCAAAGGATGTAGTGCTTCCTGAGACCCCCAAGGAAGTCTGCTGCACCATGTGCAAGAGGCCTGTGTCCTGCCATAGGTGTGTGGTACTGGTGTAGGAAGGCACGTACCAGGCTGGGAGGTCCTCTCTCTCAGGTCAAGAAGATACCTCTAGAGTGGAGATCTAACATCCCTTAAATCACAGCCAAGAGGCTCCTAACAATAATCAGCTCCGTTGGACTGTGTGATCTAGGGGAGATTCACAGGTCTCTCCAGGATTGCTAGATGTGAGGTTGCCGCCTTCCCCTTTCCCAGGTCCAGCAGGTGCTGAGGCTGGGGGCAAACTCCAAAGATATAGACACACCCCCACCCCACCCCCCAGAGCAGACTCAGCCAGGAGTACAGTACCTTTACTGTACTCCTGGCTGTACTACTTTCCCAGGCACCACGCAGGTATGAACAACGCCCACAGGAGCATGGACAACACAAATGACCCAATCCTCTTCTTCCTCTCTGACTAATCAAGCTTAAAGTTCACTAGACGACCATAACCACACTTACTCAGCTCCCATACGTAATCACATTTGTTGGTCTGTCTGATTTCTCGTCCACGCTATAAGCCCTTTCAGCATCTATGCCCAGATACAGGGCCCTTTTACGCAGTCTCTGACCTGGACCTTGGGTCTTCTTAGTTTGAACTTCCCTAGTGGATCATCCTATCCCAAAAACACAGGCACACACATATACACAGTATACACAGCACACTCACACACAAAATAGTTAGGATCAGAGATAAGATAGTCTAGACTGCAGTGATCAGGTACCAGGTTTGGTCAGACAAACATACTGACCAGCAGTCTGCTTAAATGCAACTGGACTATGCTCTTCTTCTCTCCATTTTCCCATGTTTGTTTCTCTCTTT